TTTCTTTCTTTCTTTCTTTCTTTCTTTCTTTCTTTCTTTCTTTCTTTCTTTCTTTCTTTCTTTCTTTCTTTCTCTCTCTCTCTCTCTCTCTCTCTCTTTCTTTCTTTCTTTCTTTCTTTTTTTGTCAATTTTTTTTTTGCAAATTATTCTCTAAGACATTTTACAGAGGACAGACGGCTGCTAAATTCTTTGTTAGTAGGGCTTGGAGGCCACACTCATGCTTGAAAATATCCCTGAGGAAACTCCTTGGCAACGAGAGGTTGAAGAATCTGAAGTGTAGGATGGCAAACAGCCTGAAGATACTTTTATCTAAGCCAAACACACAACGATGGTGATTTTAGTTCCTGTCTGCTCACATGTGCTCACAAAGAAAGAGGAGAACAAAGGCAGAATTATACTTCAAAATATAAGCAAGTAACCCATTCGTATCAATGTTGACCGCAAGAATGTAGGCACAGCAATACAATTCTTCCTGTTTCATTTTCAGCAATCTTCATTCAGCAAGGAAAAGCGTTCCTGGAATGATCTCCCTTTTGAGAAAACAAAACATGTAAGAGGCTAGCAAACAGGAATAAAAAGAAAGACCGTGATACAATCTGGGAACTTAAAAAAAATTAAGAAAGAAACCAGGGACAACCATGTTGATCTTGCCAAATGATTTGGAGATGAGTTCACAAAAATGCAAATGCACCCACAAACTGGGATGCCAATGGTGCACTTCAGAGGGGATATTCAGCAGGTTCTGACCAGTTCTGGAGAACCGGTAGCGGAAATTTTGAGTAGTTTGGAGAACCGGCAAATACCACCTCTGACTGGCCCCACCCCCATCTATTCACTGCCTCCCACTGAGTCCCAGCTGATTGGCTGGGTCTTCTTTGGTTGCCCTGCACAGGAGAATGGAGCTGGAAAGCAGGTTAGTGGGGTGGGGAGAGAATGGGATTTTGCAGCATCCTTCCCCTGGAATGGGGAGGGAATGGAGATTTTACAGTATCCTTCCCCTGCCACACCTACCAAGTCATGCCCACAGAACCGATAGTAAAAAAATTTGAATCCCACCACTGATGCACTTGAAGCGCCACATATTTCTTATGTATGCTGCACCACTTCAATCACATTTGTGGTGGCCTCCATCTTGATTATGTTCTGTGCACACCTCTGAATACAACCAGGACAGAGGTGGTATTCAGCAGGTTCTGACCAGTTCTGGAGAGCTGGTAGTGTAAATTTTGAGTAATTTGGAGAACCGGCAAATACCGCCTCTGACTGGCCCCGCCCCCATCTATTCTCTGCCTCCCACTGAGTCCCAGCTGATCGGCTGGGTCTCCTTTCGTTGCCCTGCACAGGAGAATGGAGCTGGAAAGCAGGTTACTGGGGTGGGGAGGGAATGGAGATTTTACAGTATCCTTCCCCTGCCATGCCCACCAAGCCATTCCCACAGAACCGGTAGTAAAAATTTTTGAATCCCACTACTGAACCAGGACATTCAAAGACCATGTCAGGTGATGGGTTATTTAAATCAACCTCACAGTATCCCACAGTTAGGATCTCAGAAGAGAAATATGAGCTGAAATGACTCTATCTCCCCTTCATGACTGTTCCTGAATAAAAACCAAGCCTTGCCAGATTCATTACCATTCCATTGGTCAGTCAATAAACAAACAAATAAATCTTGCTACTGGCTCTTATTAAAAAACAGAAATGAGCCAGCTTTTTCACTTGCAAATGTTGACACAAGCTTCATTTTTTTAATTGGTTGAAAAGATGTTATTTGTTTGTCTGCTTGTTTGTTGATATTCTACATAGTTATTATTTTTACAAACAACTCAAGTTAGTGAACATATTCAACAGACCTTCCTCCTCATATTTCCTCCATAACAACAGTCCTGTGAGGTGGGTTGGGCTGAGAGAGAGAATAACTGGCTAAAGTCATCCAGCTAGCTTTCATGGCTAAGAATTCAACACATCTTGTGTCAAAAGACTGCAAGCTGAATAACAGCTGTCATCATATGAAATACTATAAAAACAGGAAAAGCAATTAAACAGGGACATTCAATAAACCAGTGTTTTTCAAACTTGGCAACTGTGTGGACTCCCAACTCCCATAATTACCTCATCAAATTGGCTAAATTATGCCCCGTTTTGCCACTTAAAGCTGGTGTATTCTATCTAAGAATACAACACTCTGTGCTACAGAGCAGGAATTTATAAAGTTTGATGTAAAATGTAATGTATAAAATGCCAAATCATTTTAAAAAATGATATAAAAATGGAGTGTAAACAAACAAATGGTTAGGCCGTAAGATCAAAGTCCTAGAAAAACATTGAGAATGTTTTGCCTTTCTGTAAAAGAAAAGCACCCTGCGATGTTCCTTCTAAAACAAACCGCCTGGGGTTTGAAAAATAATATATAATAAAATGTTGGCTCTGACACCACTTGGTATGAAGGGTCATATGGTGCTCAGCTTCTCAGAAACACACGATCGGTCTTTTGATACCTTTCTTCAAGGTATTCCTGGTTTGGAAATACTGCATCAAAAGGACCAAGCCTGTCCAACCACCTTTTCTTTGGTGATTTAGTAACTAGATTGGGAAAATGATAGTTGATCAGCCTTCAAAAATGATGGTTGGATTGTAAAACAATTCCCATCTGGCTGGCTCAGGTGATGGAGAAGAGAAGAAGGAAGAGTGGAGCAGTCTGTCAAACTTGATTTCATTGAGGGCTGTATCAAGGTTGTGTTTGACCTCAGGGGGGCGGGGTGGGCATGGCCAGCTAGACATCACTTGGGGGCGCCTATGGCAGCCCGAGCGCTCTGCCAGCAAAAACAGGCTCCCGAACTCCATTTTTGGCTACAACAGCCTCCTGCAACCCTCTGCCAGTGAAAATGGAGCTCGGGAGGGCCACCCACGGCCCTCCCAAGCTCCATTTTTGGCCACAATGGCCTCCTGCAAGCCTCTGCCTGTGAAAACAGAGCTCAGGAGGGCCGTGTGTTACAGCTCCGTTTTTTCTGGCAGAGGCACTGCAGGCCAGTCCACTGTTTCCAGGACAGCCCCGCGGATCATATCTAAGCCTTGAATTTGACACCCTTGGTCTAGGGCAGTGGTGGCTAACATTTTTGGGCTCCTGTGCCAAAAATTGCGTGCGCGCTTACATGCTCGTGCTTGCGTGCCAGTGCCCAGAAGGCAATGCATGCCCCGCTATGCATGAGCGCGCAATCCTCCACTTCCCCACCTTCCCCTGCCACTCCCTTACCTGCATTGTGCCTCACAGCTGGTTTTTGGCTGGTTTGAGGCCTTTTTCAGCCTCCCAGAGGCTTGAGGAAGGTTTCTGCAGGCTTTTCAGGATGAAAACTAGGCCCGTTTTGTCACTTCCAGTATTTCCGGAAAAGATGGAGAGATTTAACCTGGAAATAAGGAGAAACCTTCTGACAGTGTGAACAATCAATCAATGGAACAGCTTGCCCTCAGAAGTTGTGGGAGCACCATCAGTTGAGACTTTCAAGAAGAGATTGGACCACCATTTGTCAGAAATGGTGAAGGGTCTCCCGTTTGGATGGGGGGTTGAACTAGATGACCTATAGGGTCCCTTCCAACTCTGATGATCTGTTATCTGATATCTGAATCCTGCCTTATTCTTCCCTGTAAATGCAGTTCATATAGCAATAGCATTTAAATTTATATACTGTTTCACAGTGCTTTACAGCCCTCTCTAAGTGTTTAACAGAGTCACCATATTACCCCCAACGATCTAGGTCCTCATTTTACCGACCTCAGAAGGATGGAAGGTTGAGTCAACCTTGAGCCGGTCAGGATCAAACTGCTGGCAGTGGGCAGTGAGTTAGCCTGCAGTACTGCCGTGCAGTACATATCTTGAAAGTTTTGTTGCCGTACACAAGTAAAACTACATCTGTGAGAAGAGACGTTGATGAAATCAAGAGCAGTCCATGGCTTGTGCGTATCAGGAACGTCAAGATGGCGGCTAGGAACACACAACCCAAATCCCACCCTATAAAAACAGGGAAGGACCTCCGTTTACACCAGGGGTCTCCAACCTTGGCAACTTGAAGACTTGTGGACTTCAGCTCCCAGAATTCCTCAGGCAGCAAAGCTGGCTGAGGAATTCTGGGAGCTGAAGTCCACAAGCCTTAAAGTTGCCAAGGTTGGAGACCCCTGGTTTACACTATAATTTCAGCTCCAAGTAAAAGGATCGGGAAATATGCTTCAAATAACCCAATGACATTCCAAACACCAAGCGTTGGATGGTGCTGTTCCGGTGTTTCAGAAACCTTCCGAAAGCAACTGCACAACATTTCTCCATCAGAGACTGTTTGCAGAGGCGAGAAAAGATCAAAATGGCCCCATTAAAAGTCAAGCCAATTCATTACTTCTTCCTTTCCAAACAAGCGGGTGGGAGAAAGTGGGGAAAGGGTTCTCATGAGAAACTGTATGCATTTCTTTAACAGAGGGCACTTTAGATCAAGGATAGTCGAAAATCTGTATGATGTACCGGTTTCTAAGGCAACTGTGCATTTTTATGAATACCAGAGCAAACAGATGAATAAACCTCGGGTCAATCATTAATTCATATTATTATTTTTGGAGCTTGGGTAGAGCGATTGAGATACCAAACTTCCTTTTTATTTGGAATTTCAAATGGTATTATTTGATTTTTAAAGTAAACACTCAACAGTGCTTTTTTTAAAAAAAAAAACCAGCATTTGCCTTTCTTCCCCTATTACACTTTTCTTGAAATGGCAAATTACCCATCATGGGATTGTTTTGAGGAGGGGGAGGCTAAGCCACACAAAGTGGTCTCTGATTCTGCAAGGTAAAGAACCAGTGTGTTCAAATTTCGCTAAAACAGACGGAAGGGCCAAGTGTAAAGTCGGAATAAATGGAGCCGGCCTTGCTCAGGCTCCATTTTGAGGATCATAACCAGTTTTGACCCCATCCTTTAATAACGATTCAGATAATTTAGGCCAGGCTTGGAGCAGGGAGACCCTGAGATTGGCATAAAATCTTACAAGGAGTCATTGAGAGATGAAGACATGTCTTTCCTCTCAGAGGAGAGCAGACTGAGAACAGTACAGGTAAATCCTGGACTTGCCACCATCCAGTTAGTGCCCCATTCAAAATTACAATCATCCTCTTTTAATGACCCCACAATCCCATGCAAAGTGGAGTCTGGCCAACCAAATGGAGCTGAATGTTTACTGGCCAGATGCTCTTCCTGTCACCAATGCTGTTCTGACCCAAACCTGGTTCCAAGGAAGCAAACACAAGACAAAGGTAACAGCACAACCTTTTAATGTTTCTTTACGAATCCCGTTCCTTCACGGGTAAAAGGCTGCTTCAAACCAATTAGCTCCGATAAGAAAGAGCCTTGCCAAGGTTTTGCAAGGCTGCCAAGAAGACCAGATAAAGTTACTAAGCAATATTTCAAATCAAAGAGTCTTCAAACACCAACACAGATATTCCTAACGTCCACCAGTCGTGAGTGCAAAAACTTCTTTGCTTCCTGCAAAGAACTACGGTTTCTCAGCTAGCTTTTATCTCTTAAGGGAGGGGCCATTTTCTTGCAGCCTTACTCCCGAGTCACCCGTGCTGCTGCAGCTCTTTCCTTTGAGCAGCCCTGTGCGCACACGCGCTGGACATGGGCTCCTCAGGGATCTCTTCATTGCTGCTGCCAGCCTCCACAATCTCCAAAAGCAGCATTCCACTCCCTTTTGGTTCTGGCCCCATCCCTGCATCACACACAGGCCCCTCATCTGAGTCCCTGCTCTCCTAGCCCTCAGCCATCCGCACCTGCTGCCAGCGAACCACAACAATACAGCAGATATATTCTCATTGTGCCCAGAGAGAGAAATGGTTGCCTCTACCTGGGATCGAACTCACAGCCTCCTGAATGTGAGGTGAGAGCTCCACCTCTAGGCCCCTGCACTGCTGACCCTTCAAAGTTACAGTGGCACTGGGAAAAAAGGAACTGATCACCAGTCTTTGCATTTATGACTGTCACAGCATCCTCAAGGTTATATGATCAAAATTCATGTGCCTGGCAACCGCCAGTTATTGATGATAGTCGTAGCATTTTGTAGTCAAGTGGTTGACATTTGCAGCTTTCCCAGTTGACTTCCTGCATGCAAGGCCAATAGAGGAAGCCGGATTCACTTAATAACTGCAGTGATTTGTCTAAAAAACCATGCCCCCCGCCAAAAAAAGTTTTAAAATTGGAGACAGTTCACTTAAAAAACCATCCTGCTTAGCAACATAAATTCTGAAGGCAGTTGGGATTATAAGTCAAGGCCCAGGTCAAAGGGCATCATGACCTGTTCTCCATCAGTCTCTAGATTAGGGGTCTTCAAACTTGGCAGCTTTAAGACTTGTGAACTTCAACTCCCAGAATTCCTCCTCCAGTCATGTTAGCTCAGGAATTCTGGGAGTTGAAGTCCACAAGTCTTAAAGCTGCCAAGTTTGAAGACCCTTGGTCTAAATTGCCAGAAATGGGATCAAGGTCTTAAAAAGTAGATTCTGGTTGATTATTCGGATAGCAGCTCAACAAGGTGGCCATTTGTCTGAGGAAGTGGCAATCTTTCCTTTATGTGGATTTCTTCAAACAGAGGTCAGATAGCTGTCCCTCACACATTTTCCAAGTTATATTTCTGCATGAATTAAACTTGATGGCCACAATGGTCTTTTTCAGTGGCCCATTCTGGTTCTTTGGGACCAGTTAGTGACATTCAACATTTTCAGACAACTAGCTGGAAAAGAGCTTGGAAATGTAGCTGTGGCCTATCTTCAAAGGTACTTACAGAAGGTGAGGCTATATTTAATGTATTAGACTTCATTTATTATTTTTGATACACTAATTCATTAAATATTAACATGAGTTATACCTGATCTTGTATTTGAAAGGAAACATATTTGTACCCATCTCTTGCATATGATTTTATAAAAATTGATCTGTGTTATGGGAATTAATATATAAATATGTAATATTAGGAAATTAAATACAGAAGTTACTTCATATAGCTTCAGTGTCCAAATACTTCTGCCCATTGTCTACTATATATTAGGTTGGGATTTTTTTTTTACCCTTGTAGAGTTCTGTTTTCCTTTGCTAGTGTTAATTCCTGTTGTACACGCCCCAAAATCACATTGTTTCATTTAGACTACTTTAAACACACACAACAAAAAGTCTTGTAAAACCTAGCTGTGTAAGAAATTAAAATATTATTTTCTGTTGTACATCTCTCTGTGAGAATGTACGCTGTTGCCAGCTGCTCCTCTGGTTTCAGTTGTGCACATGTGCATTGGCCAGGTGGTCTTTGCGGGTGCCAGAGCACCAGAAAATGACCCAAAAAATGGCCCCAAAACAGGCCATTTTTCAGGCTGCTTTGGGGCCATTTTAGGGCCATTTTTGGGCCAAAATTGGCCTGTAAACAGCCTGAAAACAACCTGAAAACACTCTAAAAGAGCCCCCCCAAAATGACCACAAACAACCAAAAAATGCCCCACAAACAGGCCAATTTTCAGGCCGTTTTCAGGCCAAAAATGGCCTGAAACTGAAATTGACCAGGCACCAGTCAGTTGGTCTTCAGGTTTCTGGTGTGGCACACGCTCATGCGTGTGCATGCATGCGTGTTCTGGTTTGGGCACTCGGTGCCAGCAAGGTTCGCCATCACTACCCTATACCACTTCAGACAAACGGTTGTCCAATCTCTTCTTAAAAACTTCCAGTGTTGGAGCATCCACAACTTCTGGAGGCAAACTGTTCCACTGATTAATTGTCCTGTCAGGAAATTTCTTCTTAGTTCTATGTTGCTTCTCTCCTTGGTTAGTTTCCATCTACATTTGGGGCCTTCTCTTGTCCCAAGAAGAGTACAGGTAGTCTTTGACATAATGAATCTTCCTATCACAGTTGTAATCCATAATAGTTGAAAAATGATTTTAAAATGATTTTACAATTTTTTTTTGCAAATCTGTGGTTGTTATGCAAACACCATAGTTGTGAAGTCAACCAATGGTTTGTAAAACATGGTTATGTGACCGCAGGCAAATGGCCTTTAATGTAACTGTGTTGCTGAGCACCTGAAATTCGGTCATGAGGTTTGTTATATGTTATATATAGTCAGTTGAAGTTCTCATTCTGATCCTCTGTTGGAGCGGGAAAATACTCTCTCCTGATTGGTTATTTGGCTGATCAGTTTCCTATAAAAGGAGCTGTGTTGGCCAGTTGTCTACACAGGCACAGTATAGAATAAAGAGCTGTTAGAAATCACTCTTGCCTCGCCTCCATTCTTTGCCCAGAACATAACAAGATTGTGGTGGGGAGCAAACATCGGAACTTTGGATCTGAGTGGTAAAGTCACTGAGCAACTGGTTGTAAGGACTACCCATATAGCAATTAGTTAAGTGAGATATGGATAGGTGGATCTCTCAGCCTAACCCACCTCACAGAGTTGTTTCTTATGTGGAAAAAATAAAAATAAAAAAGAGGAAGAAGGAGTATTATGCATATTTGGCACCTTGAATTGATTATAAGAATAAACATTAACACTGTAAAAGTGATACCCATTGTTATCGGGGCACTTGGTACCATGTCCAAGAATTTTACAAAATACACCAAGAAATTGCAGCTTCCTGCAATAACACCAGTGGAATTGCAAAATACTGCACTACTCGGAACATTGTACATCTTAAGAAAATACTTGGTTGATACCTAGGACGCTAGCAGCAACTCGTATCAACTATTAGCACCAGTCAGGGATATTTGTGATACATTTTTAAATGTTCCCTTGACTGCGTTTCATGTTTAATGAATAAAAGAGATAACAACAGCAACAACAACAATAACAACAGACAGTGAGCGCTGCCTATGCAAAGAAGGTGAAGAAACAGTGGACCACCTGGTAAGCTGATGCAAGAAGATTGCAGAAACTGACTACAAGCAGCGGCATGACAAAGTAGCAACAATGGTGTATTGCAAGATCTGTATGAAATATCATTTGCCTGCAAGCAAGAACTGGTGGGACCATAAAGTAGAAAAAGCCATAGAAAATGGAAAAAAGTTAAATTGCTCTGGGACTTCAGAATCCAGACAGACAGGCACCTACCACATAACACCCCGGACTTAGCAGTTGTCGATAAGAAAGACAAAAAAAGTCTGGATAGTGGATGTGGCAGTGCCTGGAGAGAGCAGAAGAGAAGAGAAAGAACTGGAGAAGATAACAAAATACAAAGACCTACAAATCTCCTGCTTGAGCAGGGGACTGGACTAGATGACCTACAAGGTCCCTTCCAACTCTGTTATTCTGTACATGTGTAAATAGAAATAGAACGACTATGGCAAAGGCAACCAAGGGTAGTACCAGTAGTAACAGGCGCCTTGGGTGAAGTCCCAAAATAATTGGAGCACCACTTGAACACCGTCATTGGCATTGACAAATTTGCCATCGGTCAATGGCAGAAGGCAGCTTTACTTGGAACAGCTTCCATCCTGCGGTGACATCTGTAACACCATCAAACATCCATGATAAGGACTCGATAGGTAGACAAAAATGCCAAACCCAGTTTGAACATCTGGCTGACTGTGTGATGAATAATAATAATAACAATACACAACTTTATTATGATCATAGACCAGAAACAAGGAAGGATAGAAAACTGAGAAATAAAATAATTAATTATTTTTAAAAACATACAAAGCTGACGTGCTTCTTGGATCAAACTTGCTCATCTTCTGCTATTGGCTGAGGAATCGGGGACCACTTTGACAGATCCTTCACTCATCAAGGTAAGTAAGATTTTACTTGAAACCCTAGACAACACTGAATATTTTTCGGTGCCAGCAGTTAGAGGAGCCAAGGACAACTTATCTTTGCTATTCCTAATGTACTGCTTGGACAACATCATTGCCAACAGAAGAATAGAGCTTTTCATTTTTGCCCTGGTTTGTGATTTCTCTCATTTAAAAACTTTTTGGAGAATATTGAAAATGGATCCAAATAATTCCAAAAGAGAGCTTTGTTAAGTGAGAAATTCAAAATTAGAAAGAGATGCCACGTAGTCCCGGACATTCTTAGACGACCCAATTATCTGGATCACATTTCCCCTAATTTCCTGCAGCTGGAGGTCCACTCCATTGGTTTTATACGTTGCTGTGTACAATATCTTGCTGCAGAATCTGATATGAGAACAGATTTTGCTCCAATTTAGACTCACGCTCCCCCACCCACAAAAAAGGGTGGTGATGTGGGAAATTGGCTGTACTAGAGAGAGCATAGGAAGGAGCTATGCATAGCAAATTGCAAGGCTACCTTTTGGCAGAAAGGAAACCCTTCGTCAAACCTGACAGACAGGTAACACAATTGTTGCTGTTCTCACTGGCTTTCATTGCCAAGAACTGAGTCCTGTAGGCTAAGCCAAATAGCCCAAGAGGAAGTTCTCAAGCTGCAGGGGAGGAAAAAAAGGCTTTCTTTGGTGGATGGAGGTAATGTACAGAATAACTGGGGGGGGGGGAGGGAAAGAGCAGAGGTGGTATGCAGCAGGTTCTGACCAGTTCTGGAGAACCGATAGCAGAAATTTTGAGTAGTTTGGAGAACCGGAAAAAACCACCTCTGACTGGCCCCGCCACCATCTATTCTCTGCCTCCTGAATCCCAGCTGATTGGCTGGGACTTCTTTGGTTGCCCTGCACAGGAGAATGGAGCTGGAAAGCAGGTTAGTGGGGTGGGGAGGGAATGGAGATTTTGCATTATCCTTCCCCCAGGAGAGGGGAGGGAATGGACATTTTACAGTATCCTTTCCCTGCCACGCTCGCCAAGCCACACCCACAGAACCGGTAGTAAAATGTTTTGAATCCCACCACTGGAGAAGAGCCTAAAAACTGTCAAGCTAGTGGGTGTGTCCACTAGCTGAAAGTGCCACCCCTTTTTGATGCTGACTTTTGGAAAGCCCTTGCACCCTCCCTGTCTTCAATTCACTGGCACCGGCCTTGAATCTGTGGCTGAAGGAAGGGTAGAGATGGATACATCATTAGGACAGGAAAGCCAGCGAGAACTTGAGGAGGTCGAACAGTCCCAACAGTCTCACTGGGGCTGGGGATGTAGTTCAGACGAACACCTGAACCTTTAACAGAGTTACTGATCCAAAATCATAATTAACAATTCAGTTGACATTAGCCCCAAAGGCAACATGAATGTTGGGCTCAACTGTGGCCATAAGTTGAAGACTACCTGTATTGTGACGCTTCAAAATAATCTCCTGGCCTTGTGACAATGAGCTCTTAAATCTCTTAGAATCATAACAGTTACATGCTGTCAATATTTGTTCTGACCCAGGCTTCATCAAACGTACTTAAACACAAACTTATTTTAAAAGCAAAACCTATTTTATTGCAACGCTGGAATTACTTTCCTTCCCAGACAGAACGAATTATAAACAGTTCCCCAAGATAAGCACACTCCTTTCAGTCCTGTGGAAAGTTGCCAAAAACAGAAGCATCCAATTATAACTGAAACCAACCAAAATACCAGAAAAAAACAACCAGAGTTTCAATGAGGACTCGGAATCTATCGAATGACTTTGCTTCCTGCAAAACTTTTGTCATTGAGGTCTGACTTTTATCCTTTATGGGAGGGGCAATCACCTCACAGCCTTACTCCTGAGTCGCCCCTTTTGTTTCAGCTGCTCTCGCCTTCTAGCAGCTCTGCGCAGATGCACACCGGGAACAGGCTTGCTGCTGCCAGACTCCAAAGGCCCCAGAGGCAGCACCCCCACTCCTAGATGATCCTGGCCTCATCCCTGCATCGGACGCAGGACCCTTGTCCAAGTCCTCTCCAAACCCCCTGACTGGTCCCCTTTCTTCCTCACTGTCTGTCTGCACCGGCTGCCGGCGAACCACAACAATATTTGATGTTTTTTTTTGTGTATCTACAAATCAAAGTCTATACCACTTTATCAGTGTTCCACAATTCAGTTTTGTTTCCTTCTTACAGCTATGTAATCGCAATACTCCTTTTTCTTATTCATAGAGCCAAAAGACTTCCAGTTGTCATTCTTTGGACAGTTTGTTATATTTACAACAGATTCTGTCTGACAGTCATTCCTGAACGAGACAAATGCTTTTAGTAAGAGTGCAGCAGGAAGGACAATTCAGCTGCTGTCAACATCTTGATGTGATCCAAATGTGAACTATTGAGGCCCTACCTCTCAATACACTTTATTATGCTGAAGACTCCTCCAAGGACATGAAACCCAATCCACCTTGTACAGGCATATTTTTGCACCACACTGACAGGTACAGATGGCAGTATGCTCCAACCCTGGCCAACATTTGATTTTCATCAACCTTTGACAGTAACTTGAGTATTGAGTTTTGTTTCAGCTTTGACAATGCTTGGATCGCTTTATGAGTTAGTAAAATGATGGACTTTAATTTTATGGAACAAGCGGGGAACGCATCTTTCTGATGTGGAAGTCACAAAGAGGAGGAACGGTACGGCACGCATGTGTAAAAAACCCCGCCGTGGAATCTTCTGGACTCAAGCTCAAGCAGCAAAATCTGATTGGGTGAGGAGCAGGTGCAATGTGCGAGGAATGTAACCTAGGATGAAGGTGTGGGTTGGCAGAAATATGCAAAACTATGCAAATGATCAAAGCAGCATTCCAGTGAACAGCTGAAACTGCCTGTTATGTTCTGAGTGAAGAATGGAAGCTAGGCCAGAATGATTTCTAACAGCTCTTTATTCAATTGTGATGACCCGGAGTGTAAACAAATGTAACAAAATCCAAAACGTAAATAAATGTCCTTTAATGTCTCCAACTTGGCCCCACTGTTCAGTAATTCTCATTTGGAGATAAAACGTGCTCAAAAATAATCTTGAAAGGAAAGCAATACAGTCCGAACTTAATGAGTAGATAGAGGTGAAATAAAAAAACCAAACAAACTACAATGACGAAATTTCCACAACAGAACAGGATAAGTAATTACCAAATTCAAGGAGATAACAAAGCACAGTCTGTTGGAAGGACGCCAACCAAGATAACTTCAGCCCAAAATAAAACATGCTTTGTTTTTGGCAACGCTGTGTTGTAATCGTCTCTCTTATATGCTATTCTCCCCAGCTGCAACCAATGAAGAGGATCATGGCCGCTTCCTCTCTCGTAAGCCAAGTTGTTGCCTTCTCCGTTCCTCTCTGCATGTCCTAGGATGCAGAGGGGATGGGCCTGGTTCTTCCTCTGACTGCCCAGCTGGCCTCTGTCCTTCCCCAGCCTCCACCACAACCTTTGGAGCTACACCTCCACTCCCGGTTGGCTGTTCCTCCTCTCCCTCAGAGTCTGACTCTACCTAGAGCATGACATCAATACTGCCTGTGAGGCGTCTGTAGCTCCCTGGCTGACAGAGCTCCTTTTATAGGAAACTGATCTGCCAAACAACCAATGAGGAGAAAGTATTTTCCCGCTCCAACAGATGACAAGACTGAGAACTTCAACTGACAACTACTATATATACTTTATACCCGTGATGGTGAACCTATGACACACATGCCGGAAGTGGTATGCAGTGCCATCTCTGCGGGCATGCAAGCCATCGCCCCAGCTCAGTTCCATTGTGCATGCGCACATGCCTCCTGCCAGCCAGCTGATTTTCGGGTATCTGCTGTGCATGCATGGGGGGTGGGGTGCACGTGGGAGATGCGTATGCATGCACAAGGGGCAGGGGCAGGGGTTGTGCATGCATTGCATTATGGGTGCAGGCACGTGTGCACTTTCTCGCATGCATGTGCACACTTATGGCACATAATGACAAAAAGGTTAGCCATCACTGCTTCATTCAATAGGTAACATGGCCTGGTTGAAAATCATGTCTCTACTACTCTGAGAGACAGTGGGGTTTTCTGAATCTTGCAGTCAGCTCCTGCCAATGCAACCATGCAGCTCTTCTGGCATCAGAAGAGCTGGCCCCTCACAAACATTTTTGGATCTCCCAATCCAGCCAACAAGCCTAAGATTTCCAATAATCCAATAAAGCTCAAGCTTGCTTAAGGTTTGGGAAAGCTCGTTAAAGTTGGCTAACTGTTGTAACTAAGCTGGGCAAAACCAGGCTGGATTCATTTTTCTGGGAAATGTTGAATACAATATGCCAGCTTGTCCTCGACTTAACAACAATTGGAACCAGAATTTCCAATCCTAAGTCGCGTTGGGCTTTAATTTAGGACAATTTTTACCTTGGCTGTGAAGGGAATCACCATAGTTGTTAAGCAAATCACAGGGTTGTTAAGTGAACCCAGCTTCCTCCGTGGGCGTTCTTTGCCAAAAATCAGCAAAAGAGATTGCAAATCACAATTATGTGACTGCAGGAAGCTGCAACCAATCGTAAACGTTAGTCAACTGCCAAGCACCCACATCACTATGAAGATGGTGTGATGGTCATAAGTGCATTTACAGGTTGTAAGTCACTTTTTCTGAGGTCGTTATTAAACGAATGGCCTTAAGTAGAGGACTACCTGTATTCATACAGGAAGCAACGTAGAAGCAATTCACCACAGCCTACTTCTGAGAGGGAGAGACAGACAGACAAACAGACAGATTTCCTGGTGGCTTGGCATCCTATTTGGTTTTTATTTTTTTTAGCTCAAACAAGGTTGGATGCGCTGGACTAGAATTTCCATAGTTTTTAACACATACTTCCTTAACAGCAGAAAATGTTTGCAATTCTATTTGAGAACATAGGTGGAATGCAGTGGGGTGTTTCAAATATTTTTACCACTGGTTTGGTGGGCGTGGCTTGGTGGGCGCGCTTTGCATGTGCGCACACTTTGCGCAGAGGCATTTTGAGTCACCTCCTGCAATCCTGCACTCTCCCTGACGCTTCAGCAGCTACTGTGCGGCAATTGCTGTGTCGCGCAAAGCAGCTGTGCTTCAAAAGCAGGACATAAAGGTTAGTATGGGAGCCTGGGAGGGCAGGCCCAACACTGAGCATTGGAGAGAACCAGTTTGGTCTCCGCTGCTCATTGCCGCCACCGGCTCGGCAGAACCGGGGCGAACCAGTAGAATACCACCACTGGTGGAATGGTGGGGTTTGGAAAATCATTAGGCTCCGTCACTGTGGAACAAGATTATTACATGCTGTGTACATCACAGAACTTTGAAAGAGAAAATTACGTGCCAAACTTTGTGGGAGTAAGTGTGGATATAACCATGAAGTAAATTAAATAGATACGAGGAGAAAACCCTTAAAAATGTATAACTCCCTCCCACAATCTTTTTCTATTATGAGCATTTCCCTCCCCAAGTTTTATACTTTACTTTGTCCAGAAAAGATTATACAGGAAACAGCATGCTTTGCAATGTTCCATTTCTATGTATTTCTACAGCACCAACTGTATCAATAATCTGTGGACATAACGTACAGTGTGTTGTGACATTGCTGTCACGTTTTCAGTCGTTGTGAGTGACATGTTGTGTTTTATTATTTTCAGCTCAAGGAATTAACTGGTAAAGACAAACGGCTTTTTAATGAAGGCAGAAATACTGTACTCTTGCAAAGGAACCAATGCCACTTATTTGTGAATTTCACTAACTGCATTCAATATAATGGGAAACAAAGAAATGTATTATTAAATGAAATGCCTATTCATTTGTAATTTGGTGATCTGCAAGACTAGAGGTGGAAGAACATGAACTCTGAAAATGATTGTCCTACATATCCTTCACACAATACTAATCCCTGTTTCTCGTGTTGATTATGGAAGATTTCCTTTTGCCTGAAGTCATCGTAGCACTTGTCTGTTTATTTAGCTTCAGGTTGATTGAGATCTTGCTTGTTTGTTTAACATTTCTAACAACCGTGCTCCATCTAAAAGCTCTTACAACAGTAGACAGGTTTTAATATATATTTTTTGAAGAAAACTAGAATAATCTGAAAAAAAACCCACGTTCTTTTCAAAGCTAGAAATATTAGTGACAGCCAAGCTGCAGGAACCAAGTGGGGTTAGGAACATCAGGTAAATTCCAGCCTTTTTTTTAAGGATAGAAAAAGAACATATAAAAACTTGTCCTTTTTCTAACACATTTAACATGTATTTCTTGGCAGTTCTCCTGTGAATTTAAAAGCTATATGGCAGGCAGACAGGCAGGCATACAATATGTGGCTCTCATATCTTCCCAATAGTTCATTAAAGAAATAAATATCCTGTTGTATATGACAATTATGTCACATTTATTATTCTTGCACCAAGGGCAATACATATACTTGCATTTATTTGAGCTGCACCTGCTTTTCTGGATTTCAAGTCAGAGAATTAACACATTCCAAAAGAATTTTTTTTGTACTTACATGTCCACCTACTCACCAGAAGCAGAGTCTATCTTAATGAAAAACTTACTAGAGAAATTTGATTGGCTTTTAATCAGAGGTGGTATTCAGTTGGTTTGGACCAGTTCTGGAGAATCGGTAGCGGAAATTTTGAATAGTTTGGAGACTGGCAAATACCACTTCTGACTGGCCCCGCCCCCATCTATTCTCTGTCTCCCGAGTCCCAGATGAACTATGTGGTCGGGCTTAGTTTTTTGGGAGGAAAATAAGGGGGAAAAAAAATCTGCCTCTGCCTACCAGCATCCATTGTATTCAAGTCACTAGTGTCCTGTCAGTGTGTGAGAGAGTTGAGAGCTGTTTGGAAACTGAAAGAGTATTTGCTGTGTGAGCAAGGAGACAGCAAAGAGCCTGGGCGTGGCTTAGCTCAACTGTTCTGTACTAAAGCTGCTTGGTGCTGTGAAACTGAAACTGAAAATCCTCTCTTCCGCTTGTGTTTTGCATTTGGAATAGATTTCTCTTTCAGGTGGGGAGGGGGAGTAGAACTCCTTAGCATCAGAGCATGTTAATAATAATATAGGAAATACTAATGCTCTGATGGTCATTTTGAAAAACCCTTTCTTAGTGAGCACCTAGAAGCCAAGAGGAACCTACGTGCCAAATTTCAAGTTTGTAGGCTTTACGGTTTTGGAGATTTTGTGATGATGCGTGTGAGTGGTATTTCGCATATATATATACATGCAGGTCTTGGCATGTTCGGGTCTTTTCCCGTGTAAGATTGAGAGCATCCTGGCAATGTTTCGACGAGGTCCTACTCGCCATCTTCACGCTGGTGCTTTCGCACGAAGCCGAAAGCACCAGCCTGAAGATGGTGAGTGGGACCTCGTCGAAACGTTGCCAAGATGCTCTCAATCTTACACGGGAAGATCCGAACACGGCAAGACCTGCATACCTGTACCCGTGAAAATCTACAGATAGATAGATAGATAGATAGATAGATAGATAGATAGATAGATAGATCGATCGATCTTTGGTTGTTCGGGTTTTCTCCCGCGTAAGATTCAAAGTATCTAGGCAACGTTTCGATGAAGTCTCATTCATCATCATCAGGCCTCTGTCTTCGGCTCTTGCTTCTCGGAGTGATGTGAGATTG